CTACTGCCAAGAGCGGGTCGGCCCCGCCCGGCCCCGCCCCCGCACGTGACACCGACTAAGCGTACCGCTTGCGCTTGCGCAGACACGCCCCATTTCCTTCGCCCCGGGCGGCCCCGCCCAAACTTTTCTTCCTCGCCTTACGGCAGAGCTGGGAACTCGGCCTCAGATTCTCCCGCTACGGGAGAGAGATGTCGCAAGATTGGGGAAGCAAACTCTGGGTTTGCGACCGTAGCTCTCGCTTTCCGGCCAGTACGAGGTGACTGAAGGCTGGTTGGGGTGGTGAGGCCCGCGGCAGGTAAGAAGCCGCCTCCCCACTTCGGTTTGGCTACTTCGTCCCGGCAGTGGACCACTTTCCCGCCCACGCGGACTCTGGCATCTTTGTGCCCCTTCCCTATTCTGGCTCTGGGTTCTCAGCTCCGCCCCTTACAGCCCCCGCCCTTTTTCGCACACACACGCCCTCTCTTCCCCCTCCCCATTTGTCCCCGCCCCCGACCTCTGTTTCCAAGTCTCGGTTTCCATTCATTCCTCGGACTTTTTCACTGAGTGGTTTCCATGCCTTAGGTTCCAGAATGTCGGAAGCAAAGAAATAGTCTCAGCTTTTTGAAGTACTGTTATATAGGAGACGGTGAGAGAATCCGCAGTGGTAGCACAATAAAATGATAACAGAGAAAAAAAAGCAAGGATGCTCTCTGTACATAGAAGAGGGCCCCTGATTGTGTAGGAGGACGCGAGGAAACTCTTTCCAAGGTGACCTTCGGGTCATTCTTAAAGGACTGTCAAAAGACTAGTGAGCATTACCTGGTCAAACGAGAGATGAGGCGAAAACAGAGAATAATGGGTGCAAAGCTCTTGACAGTCTGCAAGAGTAAAAAGTTAGGCAAGTAGAGTCAACCTGATGGAAACCATACTGGTGTAGTCTTCCTGTTAAAGAAGCACCGTCAGAAAGGGTCAGAGAAATGAGGAACGAGAATGTGGGCAGCAAGAATATTTTCTTTAACGGTGGGAGAATCGGGCAGAAAAAGTGCACTATGGAGCAGAGCAGTGGACTATTCAGGGGACGGGGGCTAATTTGTACGATCAAGAGCACTAGTGGAACTCAGTCTTGTATGCACATTACAATCACTTGGGAAGTTTATTTTTTTTTTACTAAATAAAACCAGTGCTGTTGCCCCACCCTAGACCAACTCAGTTCTAGGTAGTGCCAGGCATCAGTATTGTTTTAAAGCTCCCCAGGTGACTAATGCTGAGGGTTGAGACCCACTAAACTAGAGAAGGAAAAGATGGAAAGGAGGTAAGGGCAGGAAGTTGAGGGAGCTAGCTGTGTGCCGTTATGATGGGGTCATTTGACGAGAAAAGAGAGAGATGGAATGAGAAGCTTGAGCAGAGTTAGACGACTTGGTTTTGTTTTGTTTTGTTCTGTTTTTGAGTTAGAGTATCACTCTCAACCAGGCTGGAAGGCAGTAGCACAGTCCCGGCCACCGCAGCCTCCATCTGCCGGGCTCAGGCGTTTCTTCCACCTCAGCCTTCCAAATAGCTGGAACTACAGGAATGCGCCATCATGCCCGGCTAATGTTTCAATTTATTGTAGAGATGAGGTCTCACCAAGTTGCCCAGGCTGGTTTCAAACCTGCAGGCTCAGGCAGTCCTCTCACCTCAGCCTCCCAAAGTGCTGGGATTATAGGTGTGAGTCACCACCCTGGCTAGATGCTTTGAATAACTGCTCTGGGAAATGGAAGAAGGAGCCACTCCTGCCTTTCCCTTCACCACTGTTCCATCCTCAGTGCGTAAGGTCCACCTCAGTTACTGCTCTCTTTCCCTTTCCCTTCCATCCAGGATTCATAGACAGTGTCTCCACCCTTAAAGTACAAAGACCTTTCCCCCTTCTATCCCCAAAATGACCAGAGTAAGCCAATTTATGAGATTGAGAGACCAACATCCATTCCTCTAGAGATTACTACACATATTGCCTTATCAATTTAGAATGTCTTCTGTTATTCATTTCATCAGTCACTTAAGTTAGGAACGAGATATAAAGATATTTAAATTCAGCCCTATCAGTATTGAAAAGTACAGTATTCAGCCGGGCTCGGTGGCTCAGCCTGTAATCCCGTGCCTTTGGGAGGCTTAGGTGAGTGGATTGCCTTAGCCCACGGGTTCGAGACCCGCCTGGGCAGCGAGACCTCATCTCTACAATAAATCAAAAAATCAGCTGGGCGTGGTAGCACGCGCCTGTATTCCGG